TGCATAAATGCTAAGTGTTGCATCATCATCGCATGCATGTAGAGAACGAGTTGGCGGAGATCGTGACCACCGACGATCACGAGTTCAAGAAGATCGTCGAGAAGTACGAGGAGGAGATTCTCGTGTAGGAGGAGGTCCCAAAGCCACCACTGACTGACTCAGCTGACACCGCGCCTGCCCAAGACAAGCCCTGGTGCATAACCTCTATTTTATAATTCACCGTATATATATGCATTGTGCATTTACGTTGCAGGAGTTTTATGGAAACCACATGCATAGATATACCTATCCTAAGAGTCTTACTAGTGCAGGTTCGAGTAGATGCTATGCTTAGATTATCGATAGCGTGAGTAAGCTGCCGTTACTCACAATAGGGGATTATTATTACTCTCATAATAAAATGATGAAAGGAAAAATAGAGACCGGGCAGTGATATGGTATGGGTATCGGTGGCTGTAACAGGTTGTTCCCCGCGGCCAACGGGGCTTAGCTTGGTCACACTGTTTTCCCTGTCCGTGTCGATTGAGGACCGTCCGTTGTTATGGATGGTAGTCAGGTCATCGGTAGCGTGAGTAATGCTTTCCGCAGACAAAAAGAAAACAGCAAACCCATATTGCCTATCATATCCTTGAGAGTCGGGAAACTATTCCCACTAATCGGGTAAGTCTTGCGAGTACATTATGTACTCAGGGTTTATTCTACTACCCTAGTTGTAGGTGCAGCTTGAGGAGTAGCTCTTGGGTGGAGGATTCTTCTGGTGGGCACAGACGGATCCTTGTATCATTTCTGCTAGATATTTATTTTTATTCCATTATTTAATTATCGCACTCTGAACTCTAGTATTATAATAAATAATTTCTAGAACTCTTGTTGTATGAAATAGACTAAGTATTGTAAGCTCGTACTCATTATTAGATTCTGGAGGCAAAATGTGGATTGATTCAAGTTCTCCGGTGGGGTGTGCTCGACGGAACTATCCGATGTAGCTAACTTTCAGGGTGCTTAGTGTCTAGTGAAAGACGAGCGTCTCTGAAAGCGTGTTATTTCGAGCGGTTCTGCCACAATGACCCACCATGCTACAGGATCAAGGTACAAACTCTTGCGATGGAGGCAAATTTTTGCTCACCAGCAAATGCACCACCAAGTGGTGATACTACAAAGATCTCCATCCACGTGCGGCTGTTGGGCACTGAGTCAAGCTTTGACAAAAGAGCCATGAAGTACATCTTTAAGTAGCACATTCGGGATGCAATCGCTGTCCGCCAACACACTTAGAGGAAGAAAGCCTCAAGGGAGGGAGCCCCAATGATTGGGGAACGAGGAGATCCAATAGAGAGGACCATAGTCTCGCTAACTCAGCATATGATAAGATGATGCAATCAAGGATCCTAGTGCACGTCAGAGCAAAGACACTTATAGCAACCTCATCCAGCAAATGACATGTGTGCCGATATAGAAAGTGCAAACAAAAGGACCTTGCACAAGAGATGTGATCAAGTCTGAGACACCCCTTCATGGTGATGCCTACAAGTAGGATGCGACGTCGTCGTCGTCGCCGCCACCGACCTCGAGGAATCGGAGCTACGTTTTCACCTAGAGGGTAGGGTGGGGACACCACAAGGACGCCTCCAAGGAGGTTAGAAGCGTACGAGGACGTTGCCACTAATAGCATCGGCAACTCGTGCATGACTTTCTCCAAAGATGGCCTAAACCCAAGAACTGTAGGTCGCTTTCTCAGGAACAAGATGGCGAATCCAAGCACAACACACTGTCTTCACAAACACGACAGTGCCAGGCACGCCGACCACCACCGCTCTAAGAGATCGGCCATATCAGGCCCCAAGTGCTTGATCCCTTGATGGCTCAAGCAGAGCACTAGGGCACGCCACCAAATGGAGGCCATGGACGAGCGCTAAGGGTTGTTGGGCTGTCGAAACTCAGACTGACGGCAATGTGTGAGGTGCAGCCTCAAAGACTTGACCACCACATCCCTGTTGGGGAACCACACCGACGCGGCTTCGCGGCGCCAATGACATGCCACCATGCTACCATGTCCGTCACGACGACGAGCGCCTGCAAATCTAGGTGGGATGCACTGGTCCAGGAGGCGCCTGCTTATGCAAGTACATTACCCTCCTCAACACTGATGCTCCTTGTGCCACAGTGGTGCGTCGCCAACCATCCCGATCGCCATGGGAAGGCTAACAAATCCAGACGAGTAGACACCAAATGTAGCCTCAGCAGCCGCAGATTCAACCCATAACCAGTGGCGGAGCCAGCAGGCCCGTGCCCCCCTCACAACACAACATATTTTTTACTCAATATTTATGTTAAGAAATATATAATAAAAATTCTAACATATTAATCTCTTATAGGCTATGTGATATTTTAATTAACTAGTTAATGATGTTATTTGTACTTTAATTTCTTGTCTCTTCCATATTAATCTCTTATAGCCTCTTATACAATTAAAAAGTAGTCTTTCTACTATTTTTCTCATCTCTTTTGTTCCCACAATGATGCTCTAATTAGCTAGTTAAATATAGTTAATACTTTCTTGTTTACTCTCCTTCTAAATTGATCTTCGTTAACACCTTCATTAGGATTAGGCTTCTTGTTATTACCATGATTCTTTTCTCTAGTCCGAGAAGTCGATTGATCGTAATATGAGCGTTAGAGACCTACCAAATTTTGTTCCTTTTTTCTCAAAAATATTTTGTGTTTCTTTTCTAGTTTTTAATTTTCTTTTGTAAGACAAAATATTTATTTGGTTTTTGATTAAATAGGAGGGGCTGCAGCCCCTACTGAAATTTTATTAAAAAGTTAAAACTGATCTCCACAAAACAAGTGTTCAAGAAAAAAAGTACCGAAGAAAATGAACAAGATTGCATAAAGGCTTCTAGCCATGAATCTATGGAAGGGTGGAACTTGCTTTTTGCTCTTGGAATAACTAGAGCAAACTCCTTCTTGAAGACTTGTTTGTAGGGATGTACCGAGCAAGAAAGATTGTTGAAGATTGCATCATTACGCATAGTCCATATTGTCTAGCACATTGTGACTATAATCTCCATAAAGAAGGGGAGCTAAAGCTGAGATCTGAAGCTTAAGAGGATGGATTCCACTTCTGTGGTGTTAGGGACCATCAAGTTAAGCGTGTACCATCAAGTTAACACAAAAATATTTATTTGGTTGTTATATATACTTTGACTGTATATGTATTTCATCACGTGTGATTGTTATCGGTTTGAAGGACCCCTATGTTCAAATCCACTGCTCGTGACCAACCATCCCGGTCGAAAGAGGGGCGGATGAAGGTGTTATGGAGGCGTGTCGCCCCGGTTTAGGATTAAGGTTCACCATTACTAACCACTGTTTGAGTTCATTTTAGGAGAGTTGAATTCATTCTAGGACCCCCAAGGGTTGATGTAGCATGTGTACGTAATTGGGAGTGTCGTCTAAATATGGAATACGTTGAGTATAGGAGTATGTATCGAACAGGACAAGGGGTCAACAAGAATGCAAACGCGATGCAGGGAATCATTGGATTACATGTGACACATTCCCTGCACACGAGAAAGCAATCATCCTTGAAAAGGCCTGTCAACTAACAGGGCCCACCTTTTATTCCCCTGCCTGCGGCGGGGGGTGGGTCCCGCCCGCCTCAAAGCACCGGCCCCACTCTTCACCAATTAGGCAATTACTACCCGTACTAGTACATTTAAACCTCCGCAGGGATCCTTAAAAATTCACTCACCAACCGTACCCGAGCTCGAAATTCGCCCGAATTTCAAATTTCTTTCCTACCACGAATTCATCATAACAGGAAAGGAAAGTAGGGCCTTGTTTAGATGCTGAAAAAATTTCAACCCGATGAATAGTACCACTTTCGTCTTATTTGATAAATATTGTCCAATCGTGGACCACCAACTAGGCTCAAAAGATTCATCTCGTGATTTCCAACTAAACTGTGTAATTAGTTATTTTTTTTACCTACATTTAATACTCCATGCAAGCGGCTAAAAATTGATGTGATGGAGAGAGAGTGAAAAAACTTGGAATTTGGGATGCATCTAAACAAGGCCTAGTAGTCCTAGCAACAGGAGGATAGGCATTGCAATTAGCAAGTGGTAGCAGCAGCAGTACTACTAGAATATAACCATCATCTGATTACATGATGAGCCGAGAAGTAAAAAAAAATCTGGTCAAGAAGAGCTTTGACCGCCTAATTTGACAGTACTCGTCCCATCCACGACGGGACGAGGCTTTTCGATCACGAGAGGAGAGCCGCTCTCTAACTACAGCTCGAGTACACCGGCGCCGCGGCGGCGGCGGCGGCGGCGGCGCGCGTGACATCACATGAGGCTGCACGAGTTGGCGTTGTCCTCGTTGAACATGTTGTACGACTCCTGAGGCGGGGACGACCGCATGCCCGGCGGGCCGTACAGGAACTCCGCCGGCACCGGCACCAATGGCGGGTAATAAGGCGGGTACCCGTAGGGCACCACCTGCGGGGGAGGCGGCGGCATTGGGTGCATGGGCACCCCGGGCGTCGGCGCGTGGTACGATACGCTGGAGCTCGGGTGCGCCACGTTGTAGCTCAGCACCGGCTGCGCCGCGTAGTACGGGAACGCGGAGTGCGGCGGGCGCTCGGGGCCCGGCGATGGCGCTGGCACCGGTGGTTGGTGCGGCTTTTTCTCGGGCGCTGCCGGGGCCGGGGACGGAGCCTCCCCCTCGCCGCCGTCCTTTGGCTTGTTCTTCTTATTCTTCTTGCCCTTCTTGCCGCCACCGCCGCTGGGCTCCTCGCGCCCGCCTCCTCGGCGGCGTCTTGCTTCGCCGGCTCTGGGGAGCACTTCTTCGTCTCCTTGGGCTCAGGGATCGCCTCGGCGTCCTTGCTGGCCTCGTCCTTGTTGGGTTTCGCCGCCTCGCCTTTGTCGGCCTTCTTGTCCGAGCCCTTGTCCTTGGCCGGCTTCTTCTCCTTGCCCTCGCCATTCTCAGGCGGCTTATCCTTCGCCTCCTCCTCCGCCTCCTTGGGCTTGGCGTCCTTGCCGCCGCTCTCCCCGGCTGCCACTGGCAGCGCAGAAGCGCGCCTCTTCGGGCTTCATGGCCTCGACGGGTGCCGGCGCCAGCGCTGGTGAAGGCCAGAGCACCGCCTGCTTGCCGGCCTTGTGCAGCCGCCGGACGAGCGCATCGGCTTCCACGTTGCCTGTGACGGTCACCTTGTGCTGCGCCGCGTCCACCGTCACCTTGTACACGCCTGACGGCGCACCGCCGCAGACAAACAACCCGGTCAGAGTCAGACAGTCCGTCGTCGGCACTGTAAAACGAAGAATCGCCGCCGGCAGGAGAACCAAGACACAAGGGATACGTACGTACCTTCGATGCTGTGGAGCACTTTCTTTACCTTCTTCTTACAGCCCTCGCAGTGGATGGACACCCGCAGTGTGGTGGTCTGCCGGCAAGAACAGAGGAAGGTCAAGCGATAGGCAAATACAAGCTGAAGAAGCTATCGCTGTCCCGCTCGCTCACCGTATACTGCAGCGGCTCTGCTTCCCCTGACGCCATGGCGAGCTAGCGAGAGTAGCCTGGAGCTTCGGTGGAGCTCGTCGCGTGAACGACCGGAGCTGAGCTGAGCGGAGAGCTGCTGAACCCTCTCCTCTGGCTGGCTCTGTCTCAGTTGTGGGGGTGGCAATGCCAAGGGAGAGTGGCGGCTTATTAGCCGCTAACCTTTATAATGGCCAACGAACCAGCGTAGGCGTAGCCACCGTGTACTAGTAAGGCTATCTCAGCGACAAAAACCCAAAATACAAGACTCATTCGTCTTGACTATTGTTATAGCCAAAAGGTTCGATACCTATTTGGTATCTTCTTTAACTTTGAGTTGTGCCAGACAACTCAAAATAGATCTCTCATATAGGTACGAAGGCTGATTTTGTGTGTTTTGCTATCTATTTTGAATATGGATGCCCATATAAGTTTATCGTTGGAGACTCTCTAAGAGGAGTAAGTAAAAGGTGAGACCGACAGGTGGGCCCGGTGGTCGCCCGGGCGTCCAGGTCGCGGGGCGTGGCAGGGGCCTCCGGCTCCGGGCGCGGATCTCGTCTCGTCCGCGGCAGCGGCAGCAGGGGATGGTGACACCAGACCCACATTTGGTCAAATCATTGGAGTTGGAGGCGGAGGCCGCTGATGATGATGCATCATGGTGGCCCCTGATTAGCAGTTGTTGCCTCCATCAGATGGTTGATAACACACAAAATCGTGTCTTTAGCTTTTGCAAGATCGTGCATGTAATCCTGATAAGATTTTTTTTTCTCCATCACGGTCTCCTACTCCTTCCTGCCCGTCTGCAGTCAGTGCGCAGTGGCAGTGCCAACGTGTCGCCGATCGACCGGTCCATGTCGATCGATCCGTTCCAGGCGCGGTGCGGTGCAGTGCAGGTGCAGGTTGGTTGAGGACCTCGACAGGCCATTAGAGGCAGGACCAACCCTACGGGCTGTAGCTGCAGCATTCACTCAAAAGGCTGCCTCCTCTCCCCGCCGTAATAACGGGCGTCGTTTTCACCGCGCGCTGCGCTCGCGTGGTGCTGCAGGAGGCATGTGGGCGCCAGTGGCCTGGCCTGGCCTGCAGGAGGCCTGATGAACTGATGAAGGCGCCAATTTCCGGTGACTTTCTCCGAGTAGAAGAGAACGAGGAGAGGTAGAGCCGGGAGCGCGCGTGCACCGTCCCTGTATCGCATCGTCCGGGACCTGGAAGAGAAGAGCAACAGGGTAGCTTCTGCTGCAGGTCAACTCGCTTTACTACAAGAACTAGGCTGGCTGACACGGACTGACCTTGAATACTCCAATACTCCTACGATCAGGGTGACAGCCGCGGCGTCAGACACTGTTCCTTGTAGCCTATAGGAGTATTGTACTAGTACGTAGGCTTGTAGTACTTCCACGGGCTCCGTAGCAAAAGCGGGGCTCTCAGTCTCAGCCAAAGCCTACACTGTACTCTTTGATAAAGACCCGTTCGTCTTGCTGAAATTTGGCCGAATTGGTTAAAAAGCATTTATCTGGCTTAAAAACATAAGTTAAATAGTGCAGATTATAAAGTAAGCTAAATGGGGCCAAAGTGTATTTCTTTGTGAATTTCATTTCCTTTGAATAGGATAGCTGAGGTTTTTCCCGCGTTGCACTGGTCCGCGTCCACGCGCTGGTCAGCCACGACCTCACCCACGTCCTGCTGAACCGCCGTGTGCTCGGGCTTGAATAAAATGAATAGTCAAATAAGATGTCTGAAAGTCAAAAGCGACAATTTTTACCGACCGATGACCGAGGGAGTAACTTGTATAAGTACCAGAGATCAATACAGAATACAGTGTTGGCTCCATCGTTTACTCTTTCACTCTTCACTCTTCTGAGATGAGCCTGTGGCCTGTGGGTGCGTACGTACGTAGCGTGGTACCTACGTTGAAATGTCGACACGTAGGAGTACGTAGTACGATGCTCGGTAGCAAGGACGGGCTGAGTACAGGCGTGCATGGGCCACGACGATGCAGGCAGCAGCAGAGCGCGGGGGAATCGTTCTGATCGTCTTGCATTGGGAGCACGCGCATTTATCGCGGATCCGGCAATAAACGTCCGTAGATTGTTCGTGAGCACGAGCACGAAGCTGCACGAACCTTTGGATCGGCATGCTGTTGCTGTCTCGCGCGCGGGATGGCCGGTAAAATGGTAGAAAGTTTCTACGTGCCAGCTGCATGCATTGCGCGTCGACAACAGACGAATGTACCGCGCGCGGCTGTAGCCTGTAGCCGTGCCCGGGCACCGCATGCCGGAACGAGATCTCTAACATAGTGCAATCTATGTTTGAGGGACGTAGTTTCTATCCGTCCATTCATCAGCTAACCAACGGCAAAGCCATCAAAACGATCAATACACGAGTCCGTCTAGCTGTACATATAATTTAGCTTTCTTTAAATCAAAATATTTTTAGGAGGCAAAAGTGACCGCATCAAAACGATATTTTAGCTGTACATATAATTGATTTTAGGAGGCGGTTAAATTTTGACCGTCTCTATAAATCGATTTTACGAGATGACAAAAGTGACCGCATCCGTAAATCAAAATGCCCCCTCCATTAATCGTTCGGTTTTTTTCGAGATGGTTGGATTTTGTGACCGCCTCCGTTAATTAAAATGTAACACCACACAAAATCAATTCTGTAGCAGTGAAACGAGCCTTTTCTCCTGATTACTAATATATCATAAACTATCTAGAAATTAGTTTAATCAGTGGTGGAGGCAGTATTTGTTGAATAGCATCGTATATTATGCTACGATATAGGAATACACTTAGAATAACTTCAGTTAAGGGCATCTAGCTAGGTCTTCCCACCATGCAAATATGGCTAATACTAAGATTTGTTACATTGCCAGCTAACATGTCTAGTATTTTGAACAAATGGTTAATTTACTACTACTACAAAACAAATGGACCTATAGAATAGAACCGCAAGCCGAAGATTGAAGAGAATCACTTCCCAGGGCAAACTAGCTAGTTGAGAGAGAGAGAGAGAGAGGCAGGAGATAGTAAGAAGAGAGAGAGAGAGGCAGGAGATAGTAAGAAGAGAGAGAGAGAGAGGCAGGAGATAGTAAGAAGAGAGAGAGAGAGGCAGAGAATCATTTCCCAGGGCAAACTAGCTAGTTGAGAGAGAGAGAGAGGCAGGAGATAGTAAGAAGAGAGAGAGAGAGGCAGGAGATAGTAAGAACAAATCTTAGTCCTGCCTGACGAGCTCGTGAACTGTCAGCCTTAGTAACACTGAAGGGTGCCGTACGTGTGAGCTGTCCTCCAATCTCCATTAGCAAAGGAGCCCTTGTGGTCCCACAACCACAGGTACTACTCCTGCAATTGTAATATTTAGGGCCAGTTTGGTTGTCGAAATTTTTGGCAAAACGACACTGTAGAGTTTTCGTTGTTATTTGGTAATTAGTGTTTAATCATAGTCTAATTATGCTTAAAAGATTCGTATCGTGGATTTCGTCTAAACTGTGTGATTAGTTTTATTTTTTATTTATATTTAATGCTTTATGCATGCGTCCAAAGATTCGATGTGACGAAGAATCTTGAAAAATTTAACATTTTGGGAGGGAACTAAACAGGGCACCGTAACTGTAAGAGTTAACTGCTAGCTCTAAACCAACCTCTTTAATAGTATTAGCTTTTAGTAATGGCTCGTAATATGATTAGACCTATATAACACTCTTACATGTTCTTATAAATATGTTTACGAGCCTAGCTCTTGATAAGAGCGGTTTTTCTCTCTCTTCTATTAAAATATGAAGAAAATACTTAAAGTTAGCTTATAAGCCACCAATTGCGGGTGCCCTCAGTGCATTCCCCACTTAGAAAAACCACATGGTTTCAATGTTGACTAATTAAAATATCAACTAAGCAAAAATATGATCCAATACTACAACTAAAATAAGAGAGATGAGAAAATTGTTTCTTAACAAGAAATTATGTCTATGTGGGAATCAAGATATTGAAGAGATATGGGCCCTGTTCGTTTGAACTTATCAGTCGTACCGTTTCAGTGAAATAACAGTATTTTTCTCTCACAACAAATTAGCATCAGTATCAGCATCAGTCGTTTTTCCAGCCAACCGAACAGGGCCATGAGAGGGTGATGATGAAAGAGAGAAAATATGTGATTGAATAAAGTATTACTGGTAGAAACTATTCATTATTGAGCATTGTAGTGATATTGTAGAATGGATCATGGCTCCGCCGGCTCCTCTCTAGTTAATTTCTTGTCTAAGGAATCAAAACGGCTCCTTCCTGCAGTGGGCCAGTGACTAATAAATTGAGCGCTATGGTATTTGGGAGGAGAAACCGGAGGCCACTTCATTCACCATTTCGAAATTACGTACTTTAGGGCATGTTTAGATCCCTTTTAGTTTGGAAAATGGACATTGTAGCATTTTCGTTTGTATTTGGCAAAAATTATCCAATTATAGACTATTTAGGCTTAAAAGATTCGTCTCGCCAATTACGGACAAACTGTGCAATTAGTTATTCTTTTTATCTACATTTAATACTCCATGCATGTGCCGCAAGATTCGATGTGACGGGGAATCTTGGGAAATTTTGGATTTTGGGTGGGATCTAAACAGGGCCTAATTAGGCTAGTCTCAGTAGATGTCATTGAAGTTTTATGGATATTAAATGAAGTGACATGTATGCAAGGAGTTTTTTTGGGGTATTAAATGAAGTGATATGTCTGCAAAATTTACCGTTTTGCGGAAGAGAGAGGATTACAGCTGCCAATATACGGTCGGTTCGTTTGGCTGGGCTGAATTGTTGCTAGATCGTAAAAAAATACTGCTGTCTGGTTTGGTGTAAGACAAAAATACTGTTTCAGCTCAAAATTTACAATCGAGACAATAAGCCCAGCCGATCATCATGCTGATAACGTGGCACATTAGAAATTGATAGTAAACCTAACCTTCAACTGGCAATGGCCCTAGTAGCTCGTACGGAAAGCCGTAAACATGGGTAGAGAGGACGGTAATTATTCCTTGT